AAGACTGACGTAAATCCAAAACGGGAATTCTGCATTAAAACTGAAGTACAGAAGTGGAGTACAGAAGCCTCATGTGCCACTAGGCATAACGAGAACTGATGATGATGATGATGACAGAAGTGGACGAACAACCAGAACTTTCTACAGGAGTTTACAACCGGTGAAGCATAAGAAGCAGGAAAATAAGAAGAAATCTGCACCATATTTTCTCTGCTGACTGGTTGTGCTTTTACGCTCAAATGTCCTGGTAAGTGAAAAAGACACTCGGTGTTTCATCGACTGCCGTTTGGTCGATAAGAATACAAATCTGGCATCATTGAGGGGCCAACGGCACGAGAAGAATCATTCACTAAGTTTACTTACATGATACTGAAAGAGTGGCTGGCCAGATGGATAAAAACAATGGACCCTCATGCTAGAGACCAGGCTTCTAATCCTGTATAAAGTTAGGGTTTATTTTTTTCTGCCGGGGGCAAAAGTAAAATACTGACCTGCGAAGTCCGTAGCGACATCACAAGGCATAAGGCCCTAAAATTCTCAGGTTAAACCCCTCCCCACCCCCCCCCCCCAACAACATTGCGAAATGGTAATTACTGACAGCTTTTTTTGAGGGCAGATAACTGATACTAATCATAACGAAATCGATTATTGTGGACTCCGATTAGACAGTGAAATGGAAAGCATTAATCTAAAATTTGAAAGCAAAAGATACTGCTGTTAAATGAAAATGTGACGAACATGAGGCTGAGATCAAATAATGAAATTGCAGAAATGACATTGAGTTTAAATCCCGTTTCCCAACGCACAGAAAATGGCTACGTCGGCCATCTACCACCCCCGCTGAAACACGTCATTGGAGTAAACGAAGGAAAAGAAGAAAATGACGAAGATATTTTCAAATATTAAACCTCCAAAAATGAAATTCACATGGAATATGGAATATTTGTCAGAAAACTGACAGTTTAATGCTCTCACTGTGTTCTGTCAATGTTAACGACGTGACTGAGACAGATGTCTGGTCTCTGTCTGAACGAGGTCATAGAAAGTTTTCTAGGTTGTCTGGTTGAAAACGGAAACAGCGTACTTACAGATCCTGGGGATCATTGATGCACTCAAACGTGGCAGTCTTCATGCAGACACCCTCCAAGATGCATAAAAGGGGAGAAGTGGGGACTGAGAATTCAATATATATTTAGGGAGAGAGCTAGACAAATTCCAGCAAAATAATAGATGAGGAGAAGATGCTGGCGCTGGAAGGGCGCACGCAAAGAAATGCATATAAAAGCGTAGATGATGCCTAATGATCAAACAGCATTATTTTATGTCCAGGAATCACAAACAGTTACGTCATTAGTAACTAAGATTTCCGTTGTGTGTTCCTAATTCTTTCAAACTTTGGTTTTCTAGAGTTGGTTAAACTACGTCTTTTAGTCTCCTCTTTCTGCTCTTTACTTAGTTTGATCTACTTCCTCTTTTGTCCAACTGTATATACCATGAAGCGTCGCGGAGAGTGAAGTTTGAAGTTTCCTGTTTTTTTGCTAGTTGCTTAGCTTGTATTAAAGTCATATTCTCTGTCTTTAGTCTCTTTTACTCCATCCACCCGTATCTTTCTTGGTCGACCTCTTCATTGCTGTTTTTATATAGTACGCTATAGCTACTGTCTGATACTGTTCGCTTCTGACCAGATGAACAAACCATTTGATTCTTTGATGTTGTTTGTTTGTTTTAGTATTCAGAAGCCATGAGTTGTTAACCCTTAGGCTCGGTATTATGGATATCGCAAACTTTCGGACTTGATTCCATTGTAAATACCGTAAATCTGGGAGAAATGTGGCTTTCCTGCCTACCCCCGGGATTGAACCCGGACCACAAGGAGTTCGTCACACGGTCTCCGCGCAATCCGATTTAGCCAATTACGCTAAAGAGCCGGGCATTCTTTGATGTTCATTTACCTACCATTGTTTTTAGTTCCTCGTTAGTGAATCAGTCTCTTCTTGTTTTCCAGGCACATTTCTTATTCGTCTCATCTCACTTGTTGTAAGTTTGCGTTTATAGTTTTCTAGGACTGTCCATGTCTGACAGCACAAAGTTGGCAGGACTAGCATTTTTATCTACTGCTTTTTGTGTGCATGTTGATACTTTGATGCCTCAAAGGTGGGGTAGTTGGTAATTTATGTTGCTGGCTTTCTCTGTTCTGTTTCTAATTCTCTGTCCAATCTCCCTCTTCCTATGTTTGATACTCACAATTTAGTGTCACCTCCGCGCCTAAGGTCAGCTGTAATGATTCTCCTGCTAGTGCTGGAATCGGTCTTCACGTTTGGACAATACTGGGCTCTATCAGGGCAGTTTTTGACATTGAGCCCATCCAGGGTCTTTCAGTTGATCTCTTCTTGGTGAACCCATCCTGGTTCTTTCAGTTGATCTCTTCTTGGTGAACCCATCCTGGGTCTTTCATTTGATCTCTTCTTGGTGAACCCATCCTGGTTCTTTCAGTTGATCTCTTCTTGGTGAACCCATCCTGGTTCTTTCAGTTGATCTCTTCTTGGTGAACCCATCCTGGTTCTTTCAGCTGATCTCTTCTTGGTGAACCCATCCTAGTTCTGTCCCTGCATCTCTTCAAATATCTTGGTTCTTTCAGTGGACCCCTATGGTGAACCCATTCTGGTTCTTTCAGTTGATCTCTTCTTGGTGAACCCATCCTGGTTCTTTCAGTTGATCTCTTCTTGGTGAACCCATCCTGGTTCTTTCAGTTGATCTCTTCTTGGTGAACCCATCCTGGTTCTTTCAGCTGATCTCTTCTTGGTGAACCCATCCTAGTTCTTTCCCTGCATCTCTTCAAATATCTTGGTTCTTTCAGTGGACCCCTATGGTGAACCCATCCTGGTTCTTTTAGTGCATTCCTACATGTTGAACACATCCTGGTTCTTTCAGTGCATTCCTACATGTTGAACACATCCTGGTTCTTTCAGAGCATCCCTACATGTTGAACACATCCTGGTTCTTTCAGTGCATTCCTACATGTTGAACACATCCTGGTTCTTTCAGTGCATTCCTACATGTTGAACACATCCTGGTTCTTTCAGTGCATTCCTACATGTTGAACACATCCTGGTTCTTTCAGTGCATTCCTACATGTTGAACACATCCTGTTTCTTTCAGTGCATTCCTACATGTTGAACACATCCTGGTTCTTTGAGTGCATTCCTACATGTTGAACACATCCTGGTTCTTTCAGTGCATTCCTACATGTTGAACACATCCTGTTTCTTTCAGTGCATTCCTACATGTTGAACACATCCTGTTTCTTTCAGTGCATTCCTACATGTTGAACACATCCTGGTTCTTTGAGTGCATTCCTACATGTTGAACACATCCTAGTTCTTTCAGTGCATTCCTACATTTTGAACACATCCTGGTTCTTTCAGTGCATTCCTACATGTTGAACACATCCTGTTTCTTTCAGTGCATTCCTACATGTTGAACACATCCTGGTTCTTTGAGTGCATTCCTACATGTTGAACACATCCTGGTTCTTTTAGTGCATTCCTACATGTTGAACGCATCCTGTTTCTTTCAGTGCATTCCTACATGTTGAACACATCCTGGTTCTTTGAGTGCATTCCTACATGTTGAACACATCCTGGTTCTTTCAGAGCCTCTCTTCAAGTTGAATCCATCCTGATTATTCCAGTAGACCTCTTCATGTTGAACCCATCCTGGTTCTTTCAGACATGTCTATAGACTGAACCTCTGCTGGCTCTTTCAGTGCATCTATTGATGCTGATCCAGTACGGAATTATTTAAGTACTTCTATGGATGTTGGGCTCATACTGGACTGCTCTCATTTTGGGTGCTTTTAGTATATTTCTTGATGGTAGGCTCTTACTGTGTTATTTATTGCATCTCTTAAAATTGCGTTCATACTAGTTCTTTTAGGGCCTCTCTTAACCTTGAGCTAATTATGGTTCTTTCATTGCCTCTCTTAACCTTGGGCTCATTATGGTTCTTTCATTGCCTCTCTTAACCTTGGGCTCATTATGGTTCTTTCGGCACCTCTAGATCTTGGGCTCATAATGGTTCTTTCAGTCACCTCTAGATCTTGGGCTCATAATGCTTATTTCAGTGAACCTCTAGATCTTGGGCTCATAATAGTTCTTTCAGCGCCTCTCTTAACCTTGGGCTCATAATGGTTCTTTCAGTCACCTCTAGATCTTGGGCTCATAATGGTTATTTCAGTGAACCTCTAGATCTTGGGCTCATAATAGTTCTTTCAGCGCCTCTCTTAACCTTGGGCTCATTATGGTTCTTTCAGCGCCTCTCTTAACCTTGGGCTCATTATGGTTCTTTCAGTGCCTTTCTTAACATTGGGCTCATTATGGTTCTTTCAGTGCCTTTTTTAACCTTGGGCTCATTATGGTTCTCTCAGTGCATTTATTTATCTTGGGCTCATTATGGTTCTTTCAGTGCCTTTTTTAACCTTGTGCTCATTATGGTTCTTTCAGTGCCTTTCTTAACCTTGGGCTCATTATGGTTCTTTCAGTGCCTTTCTTAACCTTGAGCTCATTATGGTTCTCTCAGTGCATTTATTTATCTTGGGCTCATAATAATTTTTTAATTGCATCTCCTGATTTTGACCTAAACTGAGTGAAACTAAAACTAAATCTACTTGTTTTGTGCCAAACCAACCCACGTGAACAAAGCAAAAACCTACATTTTAAAGCCAACCAACAAATGTAAACAACACAGACATCTTACCTGCCTAATGCTGAACGAAAAAATGCGAACATCACACAAATCTACTTGTTTAGTTCTGTACAAACCATACGTGAACCATACACACACACGCACACACACACGCGTGCGCGCACACTCACACACACACACAAGCACATACACACACGCACACACAGGCACACACAAACACATACACTCACACACACATACACTCACACACACAAGCGCGAGCGCGCACACACACACACACACGCACACACACCTACCTGTTTAGTGCCCAGATTTCGGACAGCACAAGGCAGAATGGCGACATCCCCTTCCCTCACTGTAATGTTGGCTGCTCCAGGCAGGAACTCTGGGATCGGGACATTCTCATCCAAGAAATCATCATGAGAGCTTCGCACATTCAAAACTGGAGACAGAGAATCAATTGCTGTTTCAGGTTTTCATGTTTGTGTTTGAATTGTTTGGGTCAATTCTGCTGACACAAATTAACTCAACATAAATGGCACAAACAAGGACATGCATTCGAATTGGGTATGCGTCTACCAATTGCAGGATGCTTCGCGATGCGAAGACCACAATAATAAACTGCTTCCGTTCAGATGGGTGCAGACAGAAAGACATGGTAGCTAACCTGGGTTTGCCATGGTGGATCAGGCAGTTAAATATAAATATCCCGTAAAGTGCAGCAGGAAAAGATCGAGGCCTGGGAGTCATGACCCAGGTCGGGCCACCCTCTGAAGTTGTCTATGAGGAAATGGGCCGAAACTGTTCTCGACGAGGGATCTTCTATTGATGATCTCGCTGTACATGCTTCCCTGTGGAGTTTTTCTTCGTTTAATTGAATGCAGTTGATTTTGTATTGCAGTTAGAACAGCGGTTGATAACCGGTGCAACAGGCTCTGTGTGCATTCTTTAGGTGGCTGTACGCCGGTTCGAGGAAAATAAAACTGAATAAAAAAAAAAAAAAAAGCAAACAATAGCTAAGGGGCTCCACCGAAGAAAATGATTCCTAAAATGTTCAGTAAAATAGTTTGGAAACACTGAATTGGAAGGATGCATCATTTTTGCGTCATATGAATCACGTTTATGGTAGGATGTAACCCGAGAGATACAGGGAAATATGACAGACAATACTTTCTCCAATTTATTGTTTATTACTCTTATGTTCCAATTCGCAATGGGGAATCATTTCTTTAAGTCGCCATGTTTGTTGGCCACTCTGTACGTGGTACATTTCCTAACCCATTCAGTAGAATTTTTTCATCATGTTTAACTCCTCTATCCCATTGATGGTAATAGAGCAAGAGGGAAGGCAAACATATAAATACCTGGACGGCCTAGTCATATGGATGGGGCGATACATGAACAGTGACTTGATCCGTTATTCTGATGATAGTGTGAGATGACCTAACATAACAGCCTGCTCTTATCGGTACGGTCATGTTGATGATGATAATGATGTTCTGACCTATCTGCTATATGAAGTCATAATAGCATTAACTGTGTAAAGTACGCTTTTGGACGCCTTCAGGCGTTTAGTGTATATAGTACTAGACCTGTATCTTATAAACCAAACAGCACTCGGTGGATGATGTGGTCAACGTTACGCAGGCCTCCTTTACTTCCTGGGACTTTACATTCCACCTAGTTAAGGCTGGGCGGGTTTAGGAGCCAAGGTCACTTGAAAAATACAAACTAAAAGCCGGCTCTGTTCAGATTTGAACCTCCGAGCATCAACTCATTGAGACTCATAAAATGCCCTTCCTCTTTTAAAGTCTAAAGACGTCGGGATAAGAAGTTCTGAAGTAACATCGGTCTCGGACTGAAGGAGTTACTCTGTAAACTACGCTTTCAGTGCACACGGATATTTTCAAAAATGTTCAAGCTTTCTCTTACCGATCAGCTCTTTTTCACGTCCATACCATCATAGGACTGCAGGTCGCACCTGGCTAATGTAGCTGTTACGGTTGCCCTAATTATAACTTCTTTGGAGGTTGAACGGGGTATCTAGGATCTACCTTATTGGTCTTCCGTCCAGATTGAGTTTGTGTGTGTGTGTTTGTGTGTGTGTGTGTGTGTGTGTGTGTTGGGATCTCAGGGTGGTATGCTAAACCTTTACCTAGCAGCACGGAAGGGACCAACTGATCCTTTAATCCTTTAGATCAAACATGGGGAATCTGAGCTCTATCTTTCGGGTCATGAGTGCTGTTTTTACGGAGACCCTAGAGATCTTCGCTAAAGCTACGGATTTCATGCTTTAAGCGTCGAAGGCGGTTAGCAATCAGTTCTGTAGGGAGAAAACGAATCGGATGTCATAAAACCCAGGGCAATGAAGTCAATGAACGTAGGCGTGGGCGATCATCTAGGAGCCTGTGTGGTCTTGAGGCTGTCACGAGACGATCTCAGTGATTCCAGAAGTTAGTACTTGTAATAAGTTCTTCTGGTTCTAAAGAGACAGAATTATATTTACTCTGCGCTTTATCCTAATATTGCTTTAAACCGCACGGATTTAAATTGTTACCAGTCCTTCTTCGAGACAAACCACTGCGCTTTGTTTAAAATTACCCAACACTACGTAATATAGCCCGCTGGTTCAGACTAGGGATGTTAGATTGCATTCTCACGCCAGTGTCAGAATGTTATCTCCTGACCAGACTGTAGAGACTGAGGGGGGCCCTTTTGACCAGGTAAATTGAGTGGACGCTAGACATTGTGGAGCCCAGAGGTCAGAGTTTCACACGTCAGTGTAATTCGGGGGAGAACAGTTGTGTGGCAATTAGGACTGTTTGATCTGGGTCAAGTAGGAAACACAATGGCTTCACTGAACGTCTTTTAACACCTGCCAGTTAGATTCGTTGTAAACTAGATTGGGTCACTTAAGAATGTTTGCTCTAGGGATGTCAGTCCAGAATTGAGTGACAGGTCACTGGTTAGCCAAGTGATCTGATAGTTACCTCAGGGGCGGTGCTTAAGCCATCATCTTGAGGGTTGGGTAAAAACTAAGGAAAGGGAGGAGTTTAATTTGGACAATAGATTGATACTTATACTTCGAGCCTGTGGAATTTCCGTCATTAATCGCAGCCTGCCGGCAAACAACACAGATCGACCTAAAAGGTAAATTTTACGGTCGCATTCTGTTTTGGCGATTAATGGAAAGTTCCCAGGTAAGAGAAAATATTAATTTTAATCTTGTATACTTAGGTTAGGGAGTTAAGCTTTTAGTCTATACTACCTTTTCCTAATTTGTCTGTACATTCTGCTTGAAATAGTTCTTTGTGAATGTTCAGTATCTCAGTTAGGGAACTGCTAAACTATTCCTATTTATTGTATGTTTGTGTCACATGTTTTTCATTGTATGTTTTCATGTGTATAAAATAAGATGTGAACAATGACGTTTGCTATAATGAAATGTAATTATATTGTTTTCACGATCAGCCAAAATATGAGTTTGGACTGTGGGAAATGATGCCCAAATATGTGCAGGGATGTTGCTACGTTTTGTGTGCCCACCATGTGCTCACTTAATGTGTTCACCTGAACAGGGGATTTATAACCTCAGGGGAAGAATGATGGGTGTATAGAATTCACTGTCACTGAAAGATAATATTCAGGACAGCGTGCACATATAAATTGTTTGCGTTTTCAGCACATAACCTGCGCCACATGTGTATGTCAAATCTATGTCAGCCGGACAAGCTTGACAGTTCCTCACGGCTGTCAGAGGCTTATAAGTTGAGTTACCCCCTTCATGTTAACCTTATATCAAATCATTATCAT